CAAAAGGCAACTCCGCAGCACCAGCAAGGACACATGCCACACCAGCAGCAGCAACAACTCCCTCACCAATCAAAGTCCCACCATCAGCAGCACCTCACGCTACAGAACATACTCCGAAATACATTATCGCAGCCTGCAATGGCGCAGAAGTCCGATTCTCGTCAACCGTCACCACACAGCACCCAGCAACCACAGCTGAAGAAAGAAAGCAGTAGTCCGACTCCATCGTGGCATATCCCACAGACAGCAGAGTCCTCTAAGTCAAGCAGCAGCAACAGTAATAGTCATAGCAGTCATGACAACTCAACTCCCATGGTCACCATCCCCACAGAGAATCTTGACAACTCCTTCAAGATTGTTCTGGGTCCCAGTAAAAGCAACGGTGGGGTGAGTTCCTCAACCATCAGCAACCCCAACACCAACACCTCCACCTCCAACTCCAACTCCAACTCCAACTCCAACAGTACCTCCAACATCCCCCCCAACTTGCCCCCGCTCACCAGGATCCCAGGGTTTAGATCAATCCTTCCAAAGCCCACGGCAACCTCAGATGCCAAGGAGACTAGGCTTTCAAGTGAAAGTTTGGGCCAGGTAAGTTTGTGGTATTGCATCGGAAATTATTGCATAATTTTAGTTTTTTGTTGTTTAAAGTAAGATAATTTTTTTTTTTCTTTCTTCTTTTTTTTTTTTTTTTTTTATATATATAATTTGAAGTTTTCTTTGCTGTAGAGTAATGTTATACTGGAAATCATCTTGCATGTCAGCCTAATCTTCATGAATTGTAACCTTCACAGATGATTGGGTAAATGTATGATGAAGGACATATATTTCCAGTGTGAAAATGTAATTAAATATTACACACTAAGAACAATGATTATTGAACTTCATTATAAAAATAAATTCAGGGAGAGTAATAATCCAGATAACTCACACAGAAATCACAGGTTTTATTGCAAAGATAATCATTTATTTTTTTTATTTTTATTTTTTTCTTTTCTTTTCTTTTTTCATTCGGAGGGCCACATGTAACCCCCTGAAAACTACATGGGGTCTTCAGACAGTAGGTCACTTACCCCCGATTTACCCAATACAGGCTTTGAAAATTCAGTTTTAGTGTTAAAGATTGTCTGTTTGTATTGGCCAAATGTATATTTATCACTAGTTTTCCTAAATTTTCTAGAGGAGTTGTTGTATATCAACCCACTTTTAATATTTTCTTATATATTATTCTCTCTCTCTCTCTCCCTCCCTCCCTCCCTCCCTCTCTCTCCCTCCCCTCTCCCTTCTCCTTCTCCCCTTTCCTCCCTCTCTCCTCTTTCCTCCCTCTCTCCCCTTCCCTCCCTCTCTCCCTCTCTCCTTCCCTCCCTCTCTCCTTCCCTCCCTCTCTCCTTCCCTCCCTCTCTCTCTCTCTCTCTCTCTCTCTCTCTCTCTCTCTCTCTCTCTCTCTCTCTCTCTCTCTCTCTCTCTCTCTCTCTCTCTCTCTCTCCTCTCTCCTCTCTCCTCTCCCTCTCTCTCCTCTCCCTCTCTCTCCTCTCCCATTCTCTCCTTTCCCTCTCTCTCCTCTCCCACTCTCGCCCTCTCTCTCTCTCTCCCTCTCCCCTCTCCCTTTTCCTCCCTCTCTCCCTCTCTCCCTCTCCTCCCTCTCCTCCCTCTCCTCCCTCTCTCTGCCCCCCCCCGTCTCTCCCCCTCCCTCCCTCCCTCTCTATTTTCTCATTGAGTACTCTATGGAGGTAGACTTTATAATGGATAAAATAATTAAAAAGAAAATAGACAAATGAATTAATTGATTAATGAAAATGTCTTGCATGTGTAACAGACAAATTACAATAATTAAAAAAAAATATTTTTGTCACATTCTTAAGAGATAAAGTCTTGGACAACTAAGCTTTTGCAGATCATTATAACTTAAGAATAAGTCCAGGAAATTTGAGTGAGCAAAAGCCTAGTATTTTTAAGATGCCATTTTGTAGTATTTGTTCTTCTAAAAGGAAGGTAAAGAGCGCATTTCTATTGCCAATTATGTTTAAAGTTGGTTTGGAAGTCATACCTTGCCATTGTAATTTCTGAGAGTCTACACTACATATCCTTGTTCTGAATTATATCTTGATCAATCAGGCATTGTAATGAACATTAATGCTAAATAATTACATTTGGTTTACAACAGCATGCAAAACAGACAATCTTCAGATTGTGAAGCAACATTTGTAGATGTTCTCTTCAATGTCCACGTTTTACAGTAAACTATACAATGATAGAGTCAGTTATTCCATGTTAAGTTTTATTGAAAAGCAATTTTTTTGTCCTTAGTGCTACAATTTTTTTCAAAGCCTGTTTTGGACAAGAAATGGTAAGTCCATTCCTGTTATATTCATCTTCATTTTCATAACCTTTGTGTGTTCGTGTGTATGCGCGTGCATATGTCTGTGTGTTTGTGTGCTTGTGTGGCTGAGTTTGAAAGTGTCCATTCCGGCCAGTCATTATATGCTGTATTTAAAGTATTTTGGAGTTCACTTGACATACCTACACAGCCCTTCCTATGGGCACACAGGTAATCATTATTTTTTTTTTGTAGTACGATAACAAGGATAGAACCAGTTAGTGAAAAATTCCCATTTTGGTGCTTAAGCATATTCATTCTCATTGTTTTAGATTATTGGACAGTAAGAGTTAGAAGTAAAGGAAACAGTTGCATAATGGTTTATAAAAGAGGTGCAGATTAGCATTAAGCAGTGGAGTTAAAAGTACCTTGTAAATTTTGATTAGGTGTAATTTTGTAAACTTTTGTTATTATATAAGAATACATTCATGTAAGTTATATTCAAGCAAATTGTTAATTAGCATCTTTCATTATGTCTATATGACCTATATCTACACTTGCATGTAAGCATGTTTATTGCATCCAAGTTCATGTACTGAAATTTTTCTTTATTTTGGGGATTTGTCACTATTGGTATTAATGTTATATACACATGGATTACATAATGGTGAATAATCTGAAGAATTTCTCATGAAATGGTGTTGCTATTGCTTACATATTTCTTGTTTATACTTTTCAGTGAGGAGAGAATTAATATTTGATATTAGATATAGCCTGAGAGTGCATATTTGTATATTTATTAGATTTATAGTGTTGGAGTTAGCACCCAGAAAATACCTGTAATTAGTGACATTAGAGAACACCTACACAATTTAATTCAACAAATGTGGGTTTATTGTTATATATTTCTGTCTGACCATCTGTATATACATGCAGCTATTAGTCTGACATTCCTGCCATTATTGTTTATATTGTATAAGATACTGTGATATTGATGAAAGAATGGCCTAGGCAAAATGTTAATTCCTGAAGCTGATTTGTGGTATTTGTCTTTCCAGGACTCGGCATCAGATGAGAGCAAACTCAAGAGCATACCTCCTCCATCAGTTTCAATCACTTTAGCAGCCCTTACCGGTTCCTCCTCATCTGACCCAGCAAATGGGCCAAAAGTGAAGGTGGAGGACCATACAAATTCCACTCATGTTGACAGTTCATCCAGTCCTTCAAGTGGTTTTAATTCTGATGACCGGCTAAGAGTGACAGAAAATGGTTTGTGGGCAGTTGTCTTCATCTCATGGCTTAGGAGGGAACATTTCTTACTATTGATATCTCTTTTCTCAGTATAAAGGCCTTATCATATAAGCACTTTTTCCATCAATTTTTGCTTTTCCATGTGAACTTTCTGCATGCAAATGGTCCAGTTCTATCACACTGGCAGAGGGTCTGTGCTCCCATGAAAGCAAGCAATGTGGGTCCTAGAAATCACATGATTGCATTATTTTCATTAAAGAGAAGGGATTCCTGTTATTTGTTGTCCCATTATTCTTTACTTCATTCTTTCATCACTGATATTTTGTGGATGCATCGTTAATCACATTTTACCCTTTCCAAACATTTATATAGTATCTGTAAATACATGAAAAAATAATAAGAAACAGAAAAGAGAGAGACTACAATATGAAATTAAATTTAGAGAAAATAAGAGCATGAATTCCAGAATTTGTATACATATACCTAAAACTGAGAGAACTCTATTGTTAAAGGAGACATTCTGTAATGATTAGCTTTGGTTACACAAACTTGCTTAGATCCAGTTGCATCACAGCAATCACATAACCAAAAATCCGGGCATTAGGCTTACATGAGCAGCAGCTCTGTCGGGTGTACGGCTTGTAGGCCAGGGGCACATGAACGTGTGTGCGTGGTGACAAGATTTTATGCCCCCTTTTTGCAATGTTAGTTCCTCTTTTTATGTATAAGCAATTTTAGCTTTCTTGCCATTTTCCAATGTTCGTATTTGTCATTTGATTTGAATTATCCAGATTGTAATAGGCTTTTCTTTGCACAGACTCCATATTATCTCTGTAGGTAGTCTACAACTCAGTGCAAGAAAAAGAAAAATATTACGTTTTTTTTTTTCTTTCTTTTTCTTTTTTTCTATCTTTTTTTCTTTCTTTTATTTTCTTTCTTTCTCCCTTTTTTCTTTTCTTTCTTTTTCTTTCTTTTTTTCTTTTTTTCTTTCTTTCTTTCTTTCTTTCTTTCTTTCTTTCTTTCTTTCCTTTCTTCTTCTTCATAATATTTAATTTTCTGTAATACAATCTGCATCACCAGTCACGGCACCACGAATACAGTGCTGAGCATGGAAATAATGTCCTCCATGGAGTTAGTGCTCTTCCAGTCATGACTCACAGGCATTACATTCCACACTTGTTTGTTGATGGGAATGCAAAATGCAAAATTGCAAAATGGGTCTAATCAGCCCTCCAAGAGGTTTGTGCACTTGTGGCGAGTCTTTCCCATCACCCCAGCCTTCAGTCAAGCACTCAGCACGGCAAGTTTGCATCACCTGGCCTCAGCCAGATTTTTCCCATGTGGCATGTTCATGTCACCTGCCCCTTGAGCGAGATTTTTTCATGACATGATGGTTACATCATTTGGATTGAAGGGGTTAATATATCTGTAA